ATGGTGATCTAGCTTCAATTGACTCATGATCTTAACCATTGAAATTACTATAATATCCAAAAAACCCATCTGAAATATTGATATCTTTATAATATTTCATATTATTTTATTGATTTGTAGCACAGTTTAATTAATATTTAGAAATGTAAGCTACATTTTGTTTTACACAAATGGTATATGCTTCATTCTTCAGAAAAGAAAGTCACACTTTAACCAATTATTCTGTCAATATCTAACTGGTTTATTCTATCAAAGTTAGTTAATATAAATAAAGAACATGAAAACTATTTACAAAATGAACTAATTTTCAAAAACCATTCAATGAAATATATCACAGTTAACTTACGCCTGTTACTCCCAATAGAGCATAGGCCACCGACTAGCATTCTTCAACCCACTAGTTAACATCATAGACTAATTTTAATATGTGATTCCTTAATGGTGTATATCAACACCTCCATCATAAAACGAATAAAAGGTATTCAGTTTTGCACTAGTATTGAATGTTGTATTATTGTAATTTTGTTTAAGGCTATAATCACACTATCATGTTATTCACATGCAATCATTCTAACTATTCTACACTGAACTACTTAAAGCTTCTAATGAATTTCAAGCCTCAAAACAATATTGTTAAGATTAGGTATCTAGGTTATGGAACTATAGTACCATGAGTTTATTGATTGTACACAGCTTCATATTTATTTCAATAGTAAATGTTTTACATTTAAATAAAAAAATTGGTTATCAGTTTTTCATGTTCAAAAGAAAATCAATAAAGTTTTGCTTGTAGGATTTTAAATCTTACCATTATTCAGGTTATGGACTGCAATTAATCAGTCTCTCTTGACGTATTCGAATCCTGAGTGTATTATGTCTTTAGTGGAATTTAGTTACATGAATTATTAAGCAAGGTTTAAATAATGGGTTAGTAGTAGGATCCAGGATAATCATTTGTTACTAGTTAGGAATCGTCATTTGGATATACATGCACATATATTCATAGTCATATTGAGACTCAAATCCAGTACTTTGTATATCAAATGCCTAGTCTATTATCCAATGGTAAGCTGAGTTCAGACAATATACCGATTTGGATACATACATTCTGAATTCCAGCACTATTCTATATCAAAAATTGGATTGTGATTTCTTGTAAATGTATTTAAAACGTATTCTCAGTTTAATCAGAAATTTATAACACCCATCATCTAGATTTAACTTATATAGTTACAATGTAATAAAATTTGTCATGATTCTAAAAAGTGTGTTTAACACTTGAATGAAAGTCCCTATTGCATACACAATTGTAAATAATGGGTATACAAAAATGAATTTTATAATGAATTAGTACAACAAATCAGTGCTATATGTGCTATACTGAGTAACTTCTATATTTAAATTAAACTATTATCATGTAATTCATTTTATCCTAACAAAAAAGTTACATTTGTAATTATTTCACAACCATTTCAAAGTTTTATACACAAAAAAAGAATGTGTATCCATTGACCAATCTAGTAGGAACGTACATTGAAAACTTAATGTAAAAACCTATCACCCATTAACTTTAATATAATTGATATCATTAAAACTAACAAAAACAATAATGAATTTTCACAGATTGGAATCATGAGTCAGTTGAAGCTAGACCACCATTGAAAACCTGGAAGCACTGGACGGCCGTTTCATCCTAGTATGGGACTCCTCAGCAGTGCGCATCCACGATCCCGCACCACTCGAGGCTCGAACCCAGGACCTACTGGCTTCGCGCTCGAGCACTTAACCAACTGGACCACTGAGCCGGCATCTGACGGTGTTAATTTCTAACTTCAACCAATCCACGAAGTTGTGCCACCGTACACCATTGTCTTCAGTGAGTTCCTATCTCACAACAGACCTGGTTGAACTCCACTGGTAACGGCTTCTCACTAGAACTTCGGGAGTTTTTTCCTGAAGTCAGTCACTTGTGAGCAGTTGATTATTATCAGAATGGGTTTTGTGGAGATTTTAGAAATTTCACAGATTGAAATCATGAGGAGTCTCATACTAGGACGAAACGGCCGTCCAGTGCTTCCAGGTTTTCAATGGCGGTCTAGCTTCAACTGAATCATGATTTCAATCTGTGAAATTTCTAAAATCTCCACAAAACCCATTTTGATAATAATGAATTTTATTGATTAATTGATTAAAAAAATTACTTCTAACTTTTCCATGATGGTCCAGCTTCAATTAATTCATGATCTGTTAAGTCCCAATAATCATAATGAATGGTAACTTTTTGGGATCGATTTATGAACGATAAAAATATACGCATATTATTATTATGCTCATCGGAACCTAACATGATTTCAACTATTGAACTTACTATACTATCAACCACAAAAACCCTTTTAATACGAAAGTAATATTTGAATGAAATTTCAAATGTATACAATGTGTATATATATCTACTGTCATTTATCATTACAATGTTTATATTAATGAATTCCATTGTCTTTTGTTATTTATTATCAGAAATAAAAATATTAAAATGGTAAACAATCTTTATCAGAATACATATATATATCATAACGAGTTATTATTCTATTTAATTATACAATATACTACTACTAGCTTGTAATGTTATATACTACTATTACTAATAATAGTAGTAGTTGTTGTAGTAGTAGTTGTATCGTATAAACATTTTTATGATTGATTAATTGAAATTCTTGTGATACTAATGTTATTTATGAATCTTATCAAACCAAACAGGCTTGTAATTAATCAATCTAGTTGAGAATAATGATGAATGAAATGTTGATTATATAAAGTTGATATGAGAACAGAGAAGTAAATCAGTTATGATAAACAATGAAAGCTACTTTTTCGGAACATTATATCACTGAATTCAAAGTTTGTAAAATACTAATATTTAGTTTGATCCCTATAAACCATAAGCTTTTGTGTTGATGCATGATTCATTGTCATACTCATTTCTGTTTAAAAGCTATTTTAATTTAAATGTAACCATTTTGTACTCTATTTGTCTAGTCTAATGCCCAGCTTGAATACAAATGTATATTTTCTAATTGTTTGTGCGTTGTGATATTGTTAGTAATCACTATATATTTATACTTCTTCTTACATCAATCTGAATCAGGAATCAGGAATAAATCGAGTAAGGCTTCAGTTGACTCATCTTCTGTTTATCTCTCATTTGTCAACCAGTTAGGTGATAGAATAGTTGTTGTCTTAATTTGAACTCATATATTTCTAGCTTCAAGGATGAAACAGTCGTGTCAACGCCTTAATCTAGGATCGAGACAAGTTCTCTCCTGTAATATTCTTATGTAAACTGATCAATGACATAATAGATGCTTTTTTTTCTCTGAGTTAACAATTAAAACATTAAATATCAGTGCATATAAAATAGATTGCTTTAATTTTACACTATTTATAATTTTACATATTTCTATTATCTTAAAATATGAAGGAAGAGTAAGACAATAATATTTAGGCAATTGTGATCAAATTGGTTTGTTGATATGTGACTTTTTCAACAACAAAAAAAGGGAATAGAATAATAGAATAGCGATTATCAAATTTAACTTGAACAAACCGGGAACTACTGTTTCACCTTTCTCCCTCTCAATTAACCACCCACCCACCCACACACACACATACACACATAAATCTATACATACTAACGAAAGTGATGCCAAAATGGAAATATATTTGAATGTATATTTAAGTGTTAAGAAGTAATCAGTGATTGTTTTCAATGACAATCATTATTATTTATCGTTTAATTTATTCTGATCTTTTAATGAGTATTATTTTCAATAAAAATTGTCACTAAAAAAACATTTATCTTACACGTCTGATTTAATTTCTAAAAGAAATTTTCATTATATTGATCTGTCAGTAGATAAACTATGAAGAACTAGAAAGAACTAACAAAATAGGAAACAAGAAAGTGAAAAGTAGCATTAGAGCTGTCAAATATAACGAAGAAACTAACAGGAAAAGACAATAAACCAGAGATCAGTAAAGAACAAAGAAAGTAAGCCAATTACTGAGATTTAAGAACAGTGGAACAGGTGGACAGTGCACCTTCAACAACTTTTGAATAGACCAGTCCCAGTGAACCCACCGGACATCAAAGCAGCACACATAGACATTCCTATAGATGTCACTCCACCAACGAAATTAGGATGGTCATCAGAGAAATCAAGAGTGGTAAGCAGTTGAACCAGACAACATACCATCTGGATCACTGAAGTCAGATAGAAGTTACTTCAAAGACGCTCCAAATTCTATACTGGATCATTTGGAAGGAAGAAAAGTCGCCGACAGACTGGAAAGAAGGAGGCCTCACCAAGATACCAAAGAAAGAAGATCTGAGCAGATGTGAGAAAAACGGAGATACCACACTACAATCACTAACAAGAAACATTTTCAGCAGGGTGTCGTTGAACTGGATAAAAAATTAAGTGCCTTGCCTGACCTCGAGATCACCAGAATGTAAAAATCGGTTAAGTACCAACTATATCACTACACTATGGATCATTAATGAGCGGAGAATAAACTAGCTTCCAGATGAATTGGAAATCAGGAAAAGACGATGGAGGTGGATAAGACACACATTAAGGAAATCTTCGAACTGCATCACGAATCAAGCCATAGATTCGGATCTTAAAGGTAAAAGGAAAACAGGCAAATAAAAAATCACGTTGAAGCAGAAACTGGAGGCAGATATCAAAAGAATGAATAGCAATCGGCAACAACTAGTCAGGAGAGCCAAGGACAGAGGTGGATGGCCTATGCTCCACTACTAGGGTTAACAGGTGTAAATAAGTAAGTCAGTAAGTAATTGAAGCGAAAGTTACCAAGATCGTGTCTCATAGTGAACATCAACATTTGAACCCCAAACATTCACCTGACGAGTTCTAAATAGAAAGAAATATACTTTGTGGATTTTAATGCTAGTTACAAATAGATAATTATCAACTTACCAATTAGTGTTGTAACAGGATGTGCACTATGTGAACAATGAAGTGCAGGCTGAATATTTTGATCGTTAGTCAAAATTCCTTGTTTATTGATCATATCATTTTTTCTTAGTAAAAAACAATCACAAGATTCTCCTTCTAAACATATTCTTTCCGATAATGCAGACAATATAGGATGACGATGTGAAGGTTTAGGTGGTTGTGAATATGATGGTAATGATGTTTCTATTGATGATATTGAAGTAAGTATTGGAAATGTTTGTTTTTCCTCACGTTGTGGATATGGTAACTGAACGTATGTTACACCTGTATCGCATATAATTCTACCAGTCATTGAAGGTGAACAAGAAGTTAAAGATGATGACGATGATGATGACGATGATGATGATGATGATAAAGTCGACGATGATATGTTTACTGAAGTTTGATTATATAAAGTAGAGCAAATAGGTATTGTTGTAATGTGTTTATTCATTTGATTCCTTTCAAATTTATCATTATTAAAAGGATAATTAAATTTCACATGATTTAAACTAATTGTATTTAATGAAGAATCATTAATGTGACTAAGAGAAAAATTATTTTGTAAATTTTTTTGATGATTATAATTTGATTGTTGTAAATCTTTTTGTATTGTTACTGTTATTGGTGCAATGGATGATGAGGCTAATGAAGTTTTCTTACGAAAATTAACAATTAACTATGAAATAGAAGATAAAAAAGAGAAATAAGTGAAAAGTGTTATTGTAAAAGGAAAACAAATTTGGATAGAAATAAAAATAAACTTATACGAAAATATTTTTTATCAGTTTAGTAGTTGTGGGGATTGTTAAGCTTTTGATTGAGACCATGAACCGATTGATGTTGGACTACCAGTAAAAACCTGGAAGCACTGGACGGCCGTTTCGTCCTATTGTAGGACTCCACAGCAGCGGACATCCACGATCCCGCTCGTGGGATTCGAACCCAGGGTGTAAACGCTTAAACCTACTGGACCACTGAGCCGGCATCCAATGATGCTAATGTCTAACCTCAGCCGATCCACGATGTTGTGTGACCATCTTCCATTGTAATGAGGTAGACACCTGTGTTTTTGACAGATTAAACAATTTACGTTATAAGTAAATATATTCGATTATTCTGTTAATTAGTTATTGTCTATGTTGAGTCTGGTATAGAAGTGCATTTGTTTAAGTTGCCATACTATAACTACCATGATAGAATGAAGTTAACAAGATGAATTGACAGAGAGATTGAAATTATGTAGTAAAAATGACCAAAAAAATGATTGAATAATTCTAATATAATTCGAAATAATAGAATAGAATGGTGGAAATAGGCAAAGAATGGAATTCAAGGCGGAGAGGAAGACAAGAACTCAATGTATCTAAATTGTTATGAATGAATCTGAGCCATGATGTTGAACATTTTTAAACACTAGCTACGGAATTCATGAGGATTTCAACTGTGTAGCTTCGTTCAAGAGTAGACAACTTCATGAACTGATGCTATCTTTTAGTTTCTTAGTATTTATATATATATCACTCAGAACATTTTAATCAGTGTATAGTAATTGAAATCATGTTAGTCAAGCTCTAAATTTCAAATGAACCGCCAAAATCAAACTTCAATAAGCAATTAGGTTTATATAATTCGACTTTGTCAGCAATGCTGAAAACATGACAATCGCGACAGTGATCACTGACTAGTGATTAAACAGTGTAAATTATCAGCCCTAAAGCTGTTCATACAGGTTAGCACCGATGTTTTTATTATGAAAATATTTTTAAAAAATCCACAAACCACTAACGAAGATAGTTCAAAAGAAGTCTGTTTTATATTTCGATTGTTATAACTACAGTGAAGTTAAGATCAAATTCTCTTTCTTTCATTTTTATTTTGTTGGTCGTCTCTCTCACTGCAACTTGATAGAAAGCGGGTCAACTGAAGACGATGCATAATCATCATAGATCATACAGTGAAATCTTTATTTAGTTGCATAGCTTAGAATCGTCCATAATGGCACAAATACATTATGTCTTGACCTTCTTTTCAATCTTTAAATCAAGAATTCTTTTATATATATACTTTCACTGAATCTCTCTTAGACATTCTCAATGTTTACTTGTTTTTATTATGATTGTAATTCATTTCATCACATCATATCAATTGTGGTATGATATCTGCTGCAGGATCTAAATCGATGATAACTGACTGATAAACAGGCTAACGATAATCAACTAGACTGAGAAAAAATTCAGCACAAACTACGCAAATAAAACTATAATAATCCAGTGTATGGAATAGCCTAGTTGGTAATACCTCCAAATGTTATCTCTCTCTCTTGCAATGCTCTCACATGGCCACACATATACAGCCACTAACAGCAAAGTCTTACTCATTATCTTCTCACACCACAGCTGTTGTTCACGAAACTGAGAGGACGGAAAGCGAGTTTCCGGCGCTTTAACCGGGTTGGTGGATACAGAGAGTTCAACTTAGGGGAGTTGTAAAACCCTGATTTCTAACCAATGTTGTACATGGGCTTCAGTACCCTGTGGGAACAAATGGCGCATGAACCAATCGTTCATCACCAGTTACCATGGGACTGCATCTCCTTACGTCGCTCCACTGCCTTGTGAATCAGACTTTAGGTCAAAGGCTTCAGGCGTGGCCTTTTAAGAGAACTGTCTGCTTCAGTTTTGTCACCCTGACAATATCTCATCCCTCATAGCAGTTGAATAATTTATGTGTCGTATATCTATTTGGTGCCCATTTGTATCAATATTTATGTGTTCAAATAAATTAAATAAAATAAATAAGTTGGTAAACATAAGCATAGAAATAAATGATTTACAAAATTGTTTAACATAACGTTATCATACCATTTCACAAATTTCAGATAAGAAAAACATTGTCAAAAATATGTGAAAATATCCTCTATCAATAAATATAAATGATCAAACTTTGTTTTACTTGATTTATACTACTGATAATTTACAAATATTTACTGTAAAATAAACACTGGAGGAATAAGGAGCTATTATTATTATTATTATTATTATTATTATTATTATTATTATTATTAGTAGTAGTAGTAGTAGTAGTAGTAGTAGTAGTAGTAGTAATAATAATAATAACAATAATAATAATAGTAATAATAGTGGCAATAGTAACAGTAACAGTAATGTTGCTAGTAGTAGTAGTTGTTGTAGTACTAGTAATAGTAGTAGTAATAGTATGAGTGGTGGTAATAGTGGTAGTAATAGTACTAATAATAGTAGTATTAATGCTTGGAAATAATTCTAAAACAACATTTATCTATTTATTTAAACAATAATTATTTATTGGAATTTAATTGTTCCACTTTCAAATGATAAATTGATTTCGTCTATGAAATGAAGTAAATTATAATATAGACATTATAATAATATTGTATTAATTATTTTGTATTGTTTTATTTGAAACATATATAACTTAAATTTATTATACAATTGTAACTAATTGGTAATATATTGAAATAGGTTACTAAGTAAATGAATACATATTATCATAGATTGATTAATTAACAGGCATTAATAGAAACGATGAGTAAATATTAATTCATATCACAACGGGGGGGGTTTGTGTGGATATTATAGTAATTTTAATAGATGAAATCAAGAGTCAATTGAAGTTATTGTGTATCGCGAGGTGACTACTCTAATTTCTACCGATCGACTAGCTTCAGATATCCCAGTTCGACCCCAATACTGTTCCCAATCTCCAATATATCAGAACACGAACCGTAGATGAAAAATTGTTTATGGGGTCAGAAGCCGAATAATGATTTACAAACAAATGCATATTTATACAGTTAGGATTACTATAAATATTGACCAACAGAAAGATAACACGTGAAATAGTATTGACCAATGGGGAAATGACACGCGAAATAAATATTGATTAGTAGGGAAACGTCCAATAGGAAAATGACACCATTTAACGTTCAAGGGTAGCATTAGACTTAACCGGATAATTGTTTTTGGGATATTTTTCTGAATATCCCAACACCTCCCCTTGGAAAAGTTAATAGCGACGTAATCGAGGATTTACTTGAAGTTTCTTTGGGTGTCTTCTTTTGCGATCCGACCTCCGAGGCAACCACACAGAACCAGAAGGATGTTCTACTTGAGTAGATGACTTAGTCGTCTCTGTTGGAGGTATTGGCGGAAGTTGAAACGTGTCTAACAGCAGGTCGAGTGGAACGCTTTTTGTACTTGCTTCTTTCTCCTTCGCTTCCCTTGGCCTGACTTGATTGTGGTGCCTGGTCCAGATTTCTTGGTTCACTTTGACATCATACATGACGTTCCCGTGTTTCTTTGTGATTTCACCCTCTACCCATCTATCACTTCCGTGTCTATAGTCTCGCGCATACACTTTTGTACCAACTTCGTAGGGAATTCGAGTATTCTTCATATGGGGGTTTTGTTGCGCCACTTGCTTAGGTTTCATCGCACAATGAACTGTCCGTAGCTTTCGCCCCATAAGCATCTCAGCAGGGGATTTGGAGTTTGGCAATAAGTCATGCGGGGTCGTCCGGTACGCAACTAGGAATCGTTCTATGCTATCTTCTGTGGTCCCCTCCCCTCGTGATTTAAGCATAGCTCGTTTAAATGTATCAACGAACCTTTCAGCTTGTCCATTAGATTGCGGGTGATATGGCGGAGAACGGACATGGTTGATCGAATTTTGCAGGCAAAATTCTCGGAATTGGCTAGATGTGAATTGTGAACCATTGTCTGTTACTATTGTTTCTGGAAGACCATGCTGAGCGAAGATCCGATTAAGGAGTTTGATGGTTCGAGTTGTAGAGGGTGGCGCAATTGGCAATATCTCCGGCCATTTGGAGTAGGAGTCAACCAGTGTCAGATATGTGGTACCATCTAGGGGTCCGATGAAGTCAATATGCACTCGCGACCAGGGTTTTTCCGACTTTGGCCAGGGTACTGGAGGCAACTTAGGAGGATTTTTCGCAGCTCTTTGACAATGCGAGCATCTTTTGACGAAGTCGACAATCTGCTTGTCCATATTCGGCCAATATGCATAACTGCGAGCGATGGATTTCATACGGTTTATCCCTGGGTGTCCAGAGTGGAATTGGTGTAGGATCTTGGAACGTAGGGTTGTTGGAATTACTACGCGATCACCGAACATCAGACAATCGTTAACAATACAGAGAGCACTGCGACGATTCGCTAGCTGTTGCATATCACCACTCAGCTGCTTAACTGGCCATCTACTCTGAACATAGGTGATCGCTTTTTGGATAATCGGGTCCTCTCTGGTAGCTTCCCGAACATCTTCAGCGGTAACAGGCATTGCTCGAATGGCATTCGCTAATACTGTAGCACCGGAATCCTCTTCGGTTGATACTATGGCTATGAGTGTGTCCTCATCAGTAGTAGAATGGTTACTGATAAGTCTGGACAGTGCATCCGCTTGACCAAAATCTTCGGAATGTCGATACTGGATGTCGAAGTCGTACCCCAATAACGCCAACGCCCAACGTTGAAGACGATTAGCAGAATGGGCAGGAATGCCTTTCTTTGATCCAAAGATTGATAACAAGGGCTTGTGGTCTGTGAGCAAGGTGAAACGGCGTCCGTAAATGAATTTGTGGAATCGCCGGACAGCAAAAATTAGGGCTAACGCTTCCTT